CAATAGCTTAATGTGTGGTAAAATTAATATTTTAGTCTCTAAGTTAAAGTTAACGGAAAGTCATCTCGCCTCAGTCATTCTCCATGCATCAGCATTAGCGCGTCGCGTTCGGTTGCGACAGTAACACGACGACACTCTCTTCAAGATCAATGTTCCCAATATTATACTTTATTTGTAGATAAGGCATAAAGGTCTATGATTTGCATAAAATGACTATCTTGCTGGAGTGGAGTTTATTGCCCTTTAGAATACACTAAGCATTAGTGCTGCACGATTAATTATATCGCAGTCGTAATAGCGATCTCAAACCTATGCAATTATATAACGCAAAATGCCGCGATTTTAAATGAAATAAACAAAGTAGGGCTATTAGCGCAGCATCTCTTCTTTTTTGTCATCCTTTGACTAGTGTTACAAGATCCCCCTCTTATTGGTTCAAATGCCTTTTCGCATTTTGCACGACAAGAAGTGAAAAGCTGCCTGTGAGTGCCCTAGATTAGAATAGATGAGACTCGCATAATGCGCATGCACTGACCGTGTGCCAGCCCAGAATAAACAGTTCTCTTTCGAGCTTGAACGAACAATAGCACACACAATTATGCCAAAATGTGAGAGTTGTGAGTTGTGCTATGAGGCGCGTGTGAGATCCGCGTCTCGGCAACGGGTGCTCTTAAAGGGCAGCAGCGAATAAAGCGTTCTTTCAGTAAAGTTAAAAGAACAAAGGGAAATTAGAAAATTACTCACTGATCTTGAGTAAAGAACTTTTGTAGCTTTAATAAGGATTATTATATATATAATTTATGATTCAGGCAGCGCAGACTGTTTGATAACTTTATTCAATTTCTGTACCTGTTAAGACAGGAAGGGCACAGGTAAATATGTTTTTTATTATGGGTTTATGTGGGGATTGTTTGAAGTTCACTTAATTTAAAAGCTGTTATATATTTTTTTTAAGCCTAATAATTTTTTAAAAAGTTGATGGCTTTCAATTGATGGAATCACTGTAATGTTGGTTTGGTTGATGGTTTATTGATCATTATAGGTGTTATCAATCATTTATTGTTGTTGTTGTTGTTTTTAGTTTGAGTTGAGAAATAAACATTAATCTGTGTGTGCATTTTACTTTAGAACCAAGCAAGTTGGACTCATGAAACCATTTTATTATATCGGAGTCGCAAATCGCAATTGCAATATTGGCTCAATAATGGCAATATGACATTTTCCCAAATCGTGCAGCCCTACTAAGCATAGATTATAGATACCATCCCTTCGCTATGTTCTTTTCAATGTGAAGCGTTGCGTGCTGTGACTTGGTGTTGCTTCAAGTGCATCATTCTGCACACGGGATGCGCATGATTGCTTATAATACTTTGGGGAGACAAGGGGGCGTGGCCTAAGGGAATATCACTCGTGATGTTAAGTGATGTTACCCCGCCATCGCTGATACAACCTTTAGCAGTCATGTTTTTGCTTCTTGAGAGAGAGAGAAAGTGTGTGTGTGCGTGTGTGTGAGCAGTGGCGGTTCTAGGCGGGGGCCTGGGGGGGCCAGTGCCCCTGCGACAACAAGCTTGGACCCCCTTGTGGCCCCCTAAATGTGGAGTCAGTGTGAAATATTTTTTTTATAGTGTGTCACGCATTGAGCATGACAGTCACTCGTTTCAGTCTTTTGTCTCACACTCCCGTCACACATTGTATTTCTCATGCGGAAAAACTATTAATAATATATTTAATATACGCAATTTCTCTGGCCGCGCCGCTCTCACGTGAGAATCAAGCGCGTCTCGCCTGGAGTTCAGCAGTCGACCCTGCTACGCATCAGCCAATCAAAAAAAGAGAAGTGCTACTTAATAGCCAATCAGAAAAGGGCACTATTGTATCTGGGTAAAATTTAACGCAACAACCAATGAAAAAAAGCATATCCTGGAATTGTTCATATGATTCTGTTACAACATCTTCCGAAAGTTTCTTCACCCGTCCCACAGATGAAACTAATCACTGGAGCTCCGAACATCACTTGGAGCACGGAGTAAGTCATGATCTCCTGTTTTAATGTTACAACAAATTCACAACTTGTTTGACAAAAACTATGACAACTTGACTGATGTAAGATGAATCTTTCCCGTAGCGTAAGCTAGCTTACGCAATGCTCGTTCCCTCATCTAGAGAGAACCGAGGTTACGTTAGGTAATCGATTCGTTTCCCATTTAATTAGTATCAGTCTGTAACTTAGACAACAGTTTTACAGCCTGTTCACTGACAACACCTGCTCAGAACAAGTAGTCTAGGCCTAGTCATCTTATTACACGAATCACGATGACTGACATATTGTCACATTATAAACATCTCTCTCTCCAAATAGGCTTAATAATTTTATTTAGCACTAGATAAATTAAAGTGTATTGCATAGTCGATATTATAGGTCACTTTTAAAATCATGTCATATTTTATAATTATATCCTGGCCAAGGATGCATTAATTATTGCTTCTGTCTTTCAAAGATGTCAGGAAAAAAAAATTATAAAAAAGCTCATTCACCCTGAGAGGAAAGCCCCCTAAAAAGGCCAGTTTAGAGGATAATTTGCTGATCTTTTTGCAAAAAAAAAAAAAAAAACCCACAAAAATCGTAGATTAATTTGTAAAAATTATATATATATATATATATATACATACTGTATATTCAATGTAAAAAAATAAAATGGAAATTCAAATACAGACTGATATATGTAATGCAAATGTAAAAATATAATGCAAATGCAAATTGTTGGATAATTATAAACATGGTATTTTGCTTATTTATGCATTCAGTGCAGTGCAGAAAATGATAAGGTCTAAATGTAACTGGCCCCTCTAACAGTACAACTGGCCCCAGCTTGGCCCCCCCAGTTGAAATGGTCTAGAACCGCCACTGTGTGTGTGTGTGTGTGAGAGAGAGAGAGAGAGAGAGAGAGAGAGAGAGGAGAAATGTAACAAAGTTTAATATTGTTTGTAAACTGTGTTTGAGAGAGAGGAAGGTGTTCAGAGAGTCTGTAGGATGTTAAGCTGTTATTTGTTTTATGGACTCAATGTTGAAAATTTAAAACATTTCAAACACACTGTTGGCAGAAGTGAAAAATAAATAATTTTATGAAGTTACAATTTTGTTTGATTCCATGGTGTATTTTACTGAACATGAGTATTTACAATGCAAATTATTGTAATTTACTGGCAAATACTTATCTTGTCTTTTCATTTTATTAAGATCAGATTCTGCATGTAAAATTAAAATAATAAGGTGACTTGACTTGCACTTGACTTAACCTACTACAAGACTTGACTTGACTTGACATAGCCTGTGACTTGACTTGACTTGCCCCCCCCCCCCCCCCAAAAAAAAATACTTGGGACTTACTTGAGACTTGACGGTTAAGACTTGAGACTTACTTGAGACTTGCGTGACCTGCGCCCATCTCTGCTCTAAGTTTTAAGACAGTTCAAATGGAAGTTGGGAATTATGTGTTGTTTGAATAAATCTCCTAGGAGAAATACATCAAATTACAACGCATGTGTTTACCAATCACCACCATACTCGGTGTGCATGAAGTCAAGACATTGAGGATGCTCAATTCCGGACGGATTTTTGATATCTCGAACGGTTTGGCCGTGGCGAGGAAAATAATTTTATGACTAAAAAAGGACACATAAAATGTGTTAACTTTGCTCGTTTTACCTACAGTTACAAAACATGCCACGTATATTGTTCTTGTCAAGCCGATCAACTTTCTAATTAACAGTAAGAAGCTCAGACCAAAAGAAAGTCAGATATTGCAGTTTGGATGTGTATCTTGTCTCTATCAGTGTCTGTATGGGGAAGAGGGAGGGGGGGGGTTGCTGGTGTCTGCGTTTATGTGTGTGTGTGTGTGTGTGTGGCTGACTGTAGATTTTTTCTGCAAGTCCTTATCTTTTTGCATAACAATTTTGTATTTTTTTAAATGACAAAATATGCACATAACCCTAATCTTTTAAATGTATAGTTTGCTTTAAATAAAAGTAAGATAAATTGGTAAACTACAAATTGGTAATTGAAGCTGAATGAATTTAAAATTAATGTGCTATATTTCAATACATTTGCTTTCCTTAATATTGTAAAACACTAACCTCATTTATATGTGTGTGTGTGTGTGTGTTTGTATGTATATATATTTTGCAAAGCCCTCACTGATGCAAGCTCTTCTGCACACTTCTCTTCGACAGTCAATGCGGAGGTTAAGTTTTTGCACGTCGTGCAAAATAACCCTCTTTATATATATATATATATATATATATATATATATATATACTTAAAAAAGCGGGGGTTAAGTTTTTGCACGTCGTGCAGAATAACACTAAAGGCACCATATATATACTTAAAAGTGGGGTTGTTAGTTTTATCTACAGTTACAAAAATCGCTATATACATTGTACTCCTCAAGCCGTACAACTTTCTAATACATAGTCATTAGCTCGGACCAAGAGGAAGTCAGATATTTTGGTCTGAATATGGTGAGCCTCTCTCTGAGCCTACGTCCCTGTATGGCAAGCCCTTTTAACATTTAAAAGCTAAGTTTGCCTGTCCGGAATTAACATTGTAGATATCAACAAAGTCTTTCTGTCTAGTCGTTACACTTTGGATAGTTTGTATTATCATTTAAGATATCTGTAACATAATTGTGACTAGTCGAAATGACAGAGTATGGCAAGCCGTTTTAACATTTAATCATGAAAGGGCCAAAGCCTTCGGCACCGCCACCAGGGTGCCTTTAGGTAACTAAAGGAACCGGGGTTGCGGTGCCTCCGGCTTGGGCCCGCCATCGCTGCTCGCAGCTATATTTTGTTTTGTGTCTTTAAGTTAAAAAGTGGTTTTGTGTCTTTCATTACACATTCAGTGAACCAGGACTAAATGTATCATTGTATTTTTTTTAAACAAAAGATCCAAGAAAAAAAACAAAGTGTAAACACACCCTAAGAGTACCGATGCATCATACCATTATTCTCTAGGACCTCTGGAAGGGATTCGGCCACGGGTGAGCTCTCGGGGACGGCCACAGATGCTGCTTCGGGGGCGGGTGCGGATGATGGCTCTGGGACGGGCGCTGGTTCAGGGGTTGGCACAGAAACAGGTTTTGAGCGGAGTGCAGATGTTTTTTTTGGGGCAGGCACTGATATTGGTTCGGGGGTGGGTTCAGGGACGGGCACCTCTGGGACAGGTTCAGGCACTGGTTCTGGGACACACTCCTTCACTGGCTCTTTTACTGGGGCAGCCACTGGTTCTGGGACAGACTCCTTCACTGGCTCTTCTACTGGGGAAGCCACTGGTTCTGGGACGGACTCCTTCACTGGGGCAGCCACCACTGGTTCTGGGACAGACTCCTTCACTGGCTCTTCTACTGGGGCAGCCACTGGTTCTGGGGCAGACTCCTTAACTGGCTCTTCTACTGGGGCAGCCACTGGTTCTGGGACAGACTCCTTCACTGGCTTTTCTACTGGGGCAGCCACTGGTTCTGGGACAGACTCCTTCACTGGCTCTTCTACTGGCGCAGTCACTGGTTCTGGTGACTTGATGGGAGCCTGCTCAGGCACTGGCTCTTGCACTGGGACGGGCTCTTCCACAGGTGCGGATTCTACGACTGCTTTGGATACAGGCTCGGGCTCTGGAGCTGCCTGTAGAAATCAGAAGTAGAGAAATATAATAATAGTATTTTTTTGTCATGTATATGCATCAGTGTCAAACACCGCTGATAATGCAGTAAATGTAAGGTATTAGGGCTGCCCTATTAATCAAAATTAAACCGGACACAATTTTGCAAAGTGAAGTATGGCTCTGTGATCAGTTGTAAATGCTGCTCCTGAAAGCCAGAGGGCGCTCTGTCTCTCACACACACACCAAATATGTCGAATTCAAACAAAAACACAAAAAGCACCCCCCCCCCCCCAAAAGATAGACCAACCACAAAACATAACAAACAAAATAAAACTAAACCTCCAAAAAAAATGAGCAAAAACCCTAAATAAAGAAAAACAAACCACCCACCAAAAAACTAAACCCAAACAAAACAAATCTAATCTAAACCCAAAACATACCTCAACCCTAAACAAACCGAATATAATTTTTTAAAATCCAAACAAACCCCCCAAGGAGGGCAATAGAGCATCTGTGTGACAGCTGTCATTTGCAATCGCTCCAGCCTTAATACGCACCTGCTGTCCATGACAAGGGGACAGAGCTTGTCCAAACACACAGCACCGCTTCTGCTGGCCATGAATGCTCTCAACTCAACCACTTACATGTACATTAACCCAGCAAGTAACAGCTGTGCAAGCTTTCCAACTACCAAGTGACTTCTTGACCATTTCCTTGGTGGACTTTCCTCAGTCACACTTTTCTCCCGACTATTGTTAAATCAAACTTACTAAGGATTTGAAACCTGTACTAATACTACAATACTTGATAAGATGGCCTTATTCGTACCACAGTACCATTTTACAACATACAAGAGCAAAGTAGATACTGGATTGAATTGGAGTCTGTGGGGATTAAGGTTATCCAGAGAGGTTAAATTTAGGATTAACTGTAGATTTGTGCCATTATTAGATTAGGTGATTCAGAAAGTCACCAAGCTGGTGAAAGGGAATGACAAGAATGAAAATAAAACTAACAGAGCCGCATTCCTCCTGATGTTTAGGTTTTTCGGGTGGATGCCTAGGCATTGCTGTAAATTTGCTGAGGCATTCTGAATGATGCAATGCTCTTGGGTTTCAAAGCTGTTGCTGGGTGCTCTGAGTGGCATTGCTATGCGATGGCAAAAATATTCTGTGTTGTCAGTGTTGCTATTCAGTTGCTAAGGTATTCTGAGTGGTTGCCATGCATTACGTTATTTTGAGTGGTTTACAGAGCTGCTGTGCAGCTGCTAGGCTGTTCTGAGTTGTTGCCAGGGTGTTGCTATGCATTGTTAAGATATTCCGAGTTAACATATTCTAGCAACATCATGTGGTTGCTAGGGTGTTCTGAGTGGTTGCCAGGGTGTTGCTTTGCATTGAGGAATTTTGAGTGATTATTAGTGCGGCTGAACAATTATAGGGTGTTCTGAGTTGTTGCCAGGTTGTTGCTATGCATTAAGATATTCCGAGTTAACGTATTCTAGCAACATCATATGGTTGCTAGGGTGTTCTGAGTGGTTGCCAGGGTGTTCTAAATGGTTGCCAGAGTGTTGTTATGCATTATGTTATTTTGAGTGGTTGATAGTGCTTCTGCACAGTTTCTAGGCTGTTCTGAGTGGTTGCCAGGGTGTTGCTATGCATTGAGGAATTTTGAGTGATTATAAGTGCTGCTGAACAATTATAGGGTGTTCTGAGTTGTTGCCAGGTTGTTGCTATGCATTAAGATATTCCGAGTTAACGTATTCTAGCAACATCATATGGTTGCTAGGGTGTTCTGAGTGGTTGCCAGGGTGTTCTGAGTGGTTGCCAGAGTGTTGTTATGCATTATGTTATTTTGAGTGGTTGATAGTGCTGTTGCGCAGTTTCTAGGCTGTTTTGAGTGGTTGCCAGGGTGTTGCTATGCATTGAGGAATTTTGAGTGATTATAAGTGCTGCTGAACAATTATAGGCTGTTCTGAGTTGTTGCCAGGTTGTTGCTATGCATTAAGATATTCCGAGTTAACGTATTCTAGCAACATCATGTGGTTGCTAGGGTGTTCTGAGTGGTTGCCAGAGTGTTGTTATGCATTATGTTATTTTGAGTGGTTTATAGCGCTGCTGTGCAGTTTCTAGGCTGTTTTGAGTGGTTGCCAGGGTGTTGCTATGCATTGAGGAATTTTGAGTGATAAGTGCTGCTGAACAATTATAGGGTGTTCTGAGTTGCCAGGGTGTTGCTATGCATTAAGATATTCCGAGTTAATGTGTTCTAGCAACATCATGTGGTTGCTAGGGTGTTCTGAGTGGTTGCCAGAGTGTTGCTATGCATGGAGGAATTTTGAGTGATTATTAGTGCTGCTGAACAATTATAGGGTGTTCTAAATGGTTGTCAGGGTGTTGTTATGAATTATGTTAATTTGAGTGGTTGATCGTGCTGCTGCACAATTGCTAGTGTATATTGAGTGGTTTCCAGGGTGTTGCTATGCATTTTCTAAGGTATTCTGAGGTGTTAGTGTTTCCATGCAGTTGTTATGATTTTCTGAATGGTTGCCATGCTAAGGTATTCTACAGTTACTAGGGTGAAATACAAGTAAGTGTTCAGTTGCTAAGTTTATGGTATTATGACCAATATGGCTTTGGTCCCTCCTTCAATTCAAGTCTGAGGGATTGTCGTTGTGCATTTTATTGTCCACCAAATGAAAATGATGAATGGCAAAACATGACAACACAGCTGCTACCAGAATAGCAAACTCTTTTCCCTCCCTGAAACCAAAGTTTATCGCTATCAGAATTTTGGCATCCGCTGAACACCAGCAGATGGTTCCAGCATTCCAGCTCGCACAAACTAATTTCTGATGTGTGAGGGTAAACCCTCAAATTGAAAAAGTCTGCTACCAGATTCCAGAGCAGAGAAAAGTAGTCAAACGAATTAGTCAAATGACCGAGCACAGCAGAGACAAATCCAAAAGGCCAGTAATTAAACCATCAAATCCATTGATTTTTTAACCCGCTTTGTATTTCTACAATGTCTATGGTATATGTAAATTGAGCAGTGTTTACTCTCTCTGTTACCTGGATGTTTATTCAACAAAAGGGAAGACATCAACCCTTTTCTCTAGTCAGGTATCTCCAATTTCAAAAGATTTTTTGCGTTTTTACCACGTAGACAACCAAGTTTTATTGAAAACCCATTTTGTATTGGCTTGTTTCAACCCATGTTTGGGTCAAATATGGACAAACCCAAACATTGGTTTAAAGGGGTCATGAACTGGCTATTTAAATTTTATCATATTGTTGTCTGAGGTCAACTTATGACATTCGCTTGGTTTTCGCATTCAAAAACATCACAATGAATAAGTAATAGGCTGTTTTCTACCCTAGTTTTGAGCCTAGCTGAAAAACGCTCGGTTTTTATGGGCGTCTCGCACTGAAGACTTGGAAGTAAATGCCCACTGCTGAGAGTGGATAACAGTTTTGCAAATTATAATGAGTTTCAACTCACCCGTCGATGCACTTGGGGGAAATTATTTTGAAAACGTCCAATGTTGTAAAATGGCAACCGGAATGATTCGCCCATACATGTTCGACCCAGAGTCCGTGTGTTGCACCATTCCTGTCAGATCCAATATAGACGGCACAGCACCGTTCTTTACTCTTAATCGTCTGCAAATCTAGTCTTGTTGACAAAACAATCCTCAGTGAAATGAAGCGAACAGACGACGATGTTTTACCCTCATCAGCTGGAACGCCATTAAAAATAAAGTTTATCCATGAAGTCCTATTGGAATCCAGAGGAAGCTTATGCAGCGACTGTCTTCTTCCACAAACAGGCACTGCACAATATTCTGTATTGCTCGGTAGCTCGATCCGGTTTGTCATCACGAGGTAGGCATCTATGTTACTTAGCTATGCGTGTAATGTGTGAATCGGTGGGCGAGGCTAAACCGGCCATGTTGAAGTAGGCGTTGATCTTCTTCTGCGGGGGAGGGGTTTTATCCTCTTTGTCGTCATAGTTCCCCACTTTGAAAAACGAGTCGTTTGCTGGGGCTGGTGTCAATAAAAGCTTTTATTGGACTAACAAGGACGTTTTCAGTTCTGAAACTTACAGGATATTCTTATAATATGATGACCAAGATGTCAAAAGCTCAAGGAAAATTTGATTTCTCAGTTCATCACCCCTTTAAAATAACCTAGATTCTATTACTTTAAACCAACAGTTGGGTTTGCCCATATTTTGTGCAAAAGGATGGTGCACCCACTTTTTCCCCATTGTTTACTTTCCCAAATGTCAATAAAAACACAAAATAGGGACAAACCTAGAATTTAGGTTTAATTAAAACCAATGGTTTGGTTTTGTCCATATTTAACCCAAACATGAGTTGAAACAAGACAGCATTTTTAATGAGAGTGTGATAATGTATGTGAATTACACCTTTAAAAAACACATTTTAGTGTGTTTTTTAAAAAGCAATTAGCCACGATAAGCTAATAAGTCCGCCAAATTATATAGTACATTAGACTCTTTATGGTTGATAAGCAACGTAGGAACTTGGCACACATTCAAGGTTCAACAGCATTAAAACATGCTGCTGATCACCATAGAAATCAAGTTTCAACAAACAATGCTTAAAGTCTATTGTTAAACACTGCCAATACACAGTTTTAAAATTTTGCTCGTTTTGTTTTTTATAGAAATGGTTGTCTTTAAGAGCATAACAAATTCTGACACTAGTGATAACTGAGACTTCAGTTGATGTGAGGTTACACATTTCATCCCAACATATTTATATGGAGCCAGAAGAGTTCAGTTTACAACATGGAATCAACATCTCACAATGGTTTCCTTTTCCTCCAACACCTAAATAAAGTCACCTAATGTCCCGCAGCACTCTGTCCCGAGACAAACACATGAAAGACGGCAAGGGAATTAGGGCAGCTTTAGACGGATTCTTCCTCGCGGTGATGTCTGCCAACAGTCCATTAGTCCTGATGCTCTTAGAAAAGCGTGAACAACCTGTGATGATGTC